ACCTACCCTCAGCCCAGCTATAACCAGTATCAGCAGTATGCCCAGCAGTGGAACCAGTACTATCAGAACCAGGCCCAGTGGCCGCCATATTACGGGAACTACGACTACAGTAGCTACGCTGGGAGCACACAGGGCGGCACGAGCACACAGTAGCCAGGGCACCCGGAGGTCCTGCCCGCTTCCTCTACCAGCGCCACCTTGGCCCCGCTGATGCCCCCACTGGGTCGTGTGGTGCTGGAAGACAGGTCATCCCAGGGCTGACTCACTCCAGCCAGCTGCCTCCCAACTGAGGGCTCCACACAAAGGGCCTGGCATTTCTCTGGATTCAAACAGGCAACAATGAGCTTTTATCTTCTGTTTGTTCCCATGTCCTCCTCTTCCTCCTCCCTTTTTGACTAAAAAGCCTTCCCCTCCCTTGGTACAGTGAAGCTGGGTGACTGAGGACTCCTGTTCACTCTCACTCAGCCCCACCCTCGGCCCTTCATCTTCCCAGACCTTCATGCAGTTTGTTATAATTTCTTCCAGGAGCTGTTTTACTGTCTACTTTTCAGGATTTAAAAAAAAAAAAAATGAAAACTTAAAAAAAAAACAAAAACCACACCAACCCATGAGCAAAATGCAGAGAGAGGAGGCAGTGACAGATCTTTTTTCTTTTGTAATTATGTTTTCCCTCTTCCCTTTTTTTTTTTAGTTTGAGAATTTGTCAGTTTTTACTGTGGGTCAGCTATTGATAGGCTGTTTCATCTTTTAGCTGACTTCAGGTGACTGAGGAAGAGCCACACCCTCAAAAAAGACACAAAAAAAACCCCCAACAAACCACAAAGCCACCTTTGACCTAACTTTTTATACAATGTCTGGGTTCCCCATAACTTTGCACACAGCTTCTGTGTTCAGTTGAATTGTAACTGCTTTTTGTATTTGGAAAGAGTGTGACTATTGAACTTGAAACCTTTAAAAAACAAAACAAAACAAAAAAACCAAACTGGAAAATAATGAAAAACCAGGCAAAAATAATACCAAGAAATAAAATTACTTACCAATATCTCTCATGAATATAGATGCAAAAAAGCTTAGCAAAATCCTATCCAACAGGAAAAAAAATTCATCATGACCTAGTGGGATTTATAGCAGTTATGCAAGGATGGTTCAACATAAGAAAAACAACATAATTCACCACATTAACAAAGCAAATAACAAGAACCATATAAGCTTAGCAATTGATGTGGAAAAGGCATTTGACAAAATCCAACACTTCTTCCTGATAAAGACACGCATAAGAATTGGAATAGAAGAGAATATCCTCAACACAGTGAAAGTATATATGTAAAACCAGTATATATATATGTAAAACCAGTATATATATGTAAAACCAGTATATATATGTAAAACCAGTATATATATGTAAAACCAGTATATATGCAAAACTCAATGAAGAAAGGCTGAAAGCATTTTCCTTGCAAACAGGAACCAGACAAGGATGTCCACTCACCATTTCTATTCAATATTGTATTAGAAGTGCTTGCTAGGGCAATACGACAAGAGAAGGAAATAAAACGCATCCTGATCTGTAAAGAGATAATTAAATTATCACTATATGCAGATAGGTCAAACATTCTTCTAAGTGATATAACATTGGTCTGTACATTGCTATACAGAGGTAACTCATGGTTTCTGTGATGCTAAACACTGTGACACTGATGTGCCAAATGGAATAATGGTTACCATTGGAGGACAGTGTTTGGTGGAGCTTCCTGATTAAAACAAGCTTGAAAGCAGGAGTGGCATCCACTTCCAAAATGGCTTGCCTCCAGAAACTCTATGAACAGTGCTCAGGTCTTTCATTCATAGGGTCGCTATGAGTTGTCTATGACTCAGAAAACCCCAAGGACTCACCAAAAAAATTGAGCTGGTAGACCAATTTAGTACAAGAGTGGCAGGATATAAGACAAATATCCAAAAATCAGTGGTATTCCTCTGCAGTAACAAAGAGAACGCAGAGAAGGAAACCAAGAAAGTAATACCATTCACTATATCCAACCACCAACTGAGATACTTGGGAGAGATCTTAACTAGAGACACAAAAGACTCAAACAAAGAAAACCACAGAACATTTCTGTGAGACACAATAAAAGTGGCAAAATGTTCCCTGTTCAAGGATAGGAAGACTCAATTATTGTGAAAATGACAATCCTGCCAAAAGCAGTCTACTTGTTCAATGCAATCCCAATACAGATATAAAATTCATATTTCAAGGGGACGTAAAGGGAAGTGGACAAGTTTATTTGGAGAGGAAAGAGACCCTGAATAAGCAAGGCACTTCTGGAAAACAAAAATGAAGCTAGAGACTTAGCATTACCTGAACTCAAAACCTACTACACAGTGATAGTAATCCAAACCAGCATGATACTGGCGCAATGACAGGCACATAGACTAATGGAACAGAACTGAGAACCCAGAAATGTACTCATCTATCTATGGTCAACTGATATTTGACAAGGAATTAAAACCTTTCAATTGAGGAAATGAAAACTTTCCCAACAAATGGAACTGGTAAAACTGCAGCTGAAACAGGATCCACATCTCACACGACACTAAAAAGTCAACTCAAGGTGGGTCAGAGACCTGGGAGTAAAGCCCAAAACAATATTGTTCAAAAGAGACAAACTGGGATACTGCTTAGATGACTTAGTTTATGGTATAAAGAGACTGCCAAATACAGCCAGAAAGACACAATCTAGAGAGGATAAAAAAAAAAATTAAATACTGGTACACATAAAAAAGACGTTCTCCAACACAGTGAAAAGAGAACCTAGTGACTGGGAAAAAATATTTGGGAATGTCATCTCAGACAAGGGTCTCATATAAAAATTTTATAGAATCCTTACAGTTCCTTCACAAGAAAAAAGACTGATGACAGAATTACAAAAAGGGGGGAAAGACATGGAAAGACTTTTCACAGAAGAAGATATTTGGATGGCCAACAGACACATAAAGACATGCTCCAAATCACTGGCAGTAAAAGAGAAACAAATTAAAACCACAATGAGAAACCATCTCACCCCAGTGGCAATGGCAAAGTTTAACAGGACAACAAGTAACAAATGTTGGAGAGGATGTGGTGAGATAGGAACACTTCTGCCTTGTTGGTGGGATTGTGAAATGGTACAACCACTCTGGGAGGCAGTTTGGCATTTCCTTAGAAAGCTAAACATAGAAACTCCATATGACCCAGCCTATTACCCTGAGAAAATGAGAACTGAGGCAAAACTTGAGACTTATATACCAATGTTCATAGCAGTGCTATTCACCATTCCTAGAGTATGGTTGTGGTTGTTGTTGTTATGTGCCATCAATTATCTGTGACTCATAGCAACCCTATGTTCATCAACTCTGAGCATTGCTCTATCCTGTGCCTGCCTTACTGTCTCTGATACACCTACCCCCATTACCCCAGTCACTGAATCAGTCCTTCTCATCAAGGATCTTCCTCTCTTGTACTGTCCCTCCACTCTCCCAAGCATAATGTCCCTCTCTAAGGACTGGCCCCTCCTTGCAACATGCCCAAAGTATGTCAAATGGAGCTTCAGAATCCTTGCCTACAAGGAACAGCCTGGTTTCACCCTCACCAGGTTGAACTCGTTTGTTCTTTTAGCATTCCATGGTACATTCTTTTCTTCAGCACTGCAGCTCACAGTCATCAATTCTCCTTCTATCATTCTTAGTCATTATCCAGCTTCTGATGCATAGCACCTAATTATGATGACCATGGCTTGGATCAGGTTCACCTGAGTCTTCAGATTGACATCCTTGCTCTTCAGCACTCTGGAGATGTCATTACAGAAGACTTTCCCAATGCAATTCTTCTTTTGATTTCCTGGCTGCTAATACCAAAAGTGTGTACCATCAAATTGGACCTGATTGGTACAGGAGGAGACTGCCCCTCCTTCTCCAGCAGAGGATCTGGTGGATTTGAACTGTATACCTCTCGTATTGCAGTGCAGCTTCTTGCCACTGTTAACAATTTTAGTCTGCCTGGCTCTACAGTCAACACTCTTGGCACCAGCAGCCAGGAAATTAAAAGACCTATTATGATAGGAAAGTCTGCTGTTAGGGACCTCTCCAGGATACTGAAGAGCAATGGTGTTACTTTGGAGACTAAGGTGTGTCTGATACAGGCCATGGTCTTTGCTATCACTTGTTATGCCTCAGAGAGTTGGATAATGACTAGGAAGGACAGAAAGAGAATTGATGCCTTTGAGCTGTGGTGCTGGAGAAGATTATTGAATGTACCATGGACTGCCAAGAAAACAAACAGATTCATCCTAGAGAAGGTTAAACCAGGCTGCTCCTTGGAGGCAAGGATTCTGGGGCTTGGTCTGACATACTTTGGACATGTTGTAAGGAGGGACCGGTCCTTGGAGAGGGACAGCATGCTTTGGGAGGGTGGAGGGACAACACAGGAGGGGAAGACCCTCTATGATGTGGATTGATTCACTGACTGGGGTAATCAGGATGGGTGTGTCTGAGGCAGTGTGACTGGCACAGGATAGAGCAGGGTTTAGGGCTGTTGTACATAGGGTTGCTATGAGTCGCAAGCGACTCGACGACACATAACAACAACAACAAACGATACCAAAAGTGTTGATTGTGGAGCCAAGCAAGCTAAATCTGTTAACAATCTCAATCTCTTCACTACCATCTATCATGATGCTGCCAATCAGCCCAGTAGTAAGAGTCTTCTTGATATTGAGTTTCAATCCATATTGAAGGGTGCAGTCCTTGACCTTCTGCAACAAGTGCTTCAAATCTTCCTCAGTTTCAGCGAGCAGGATTGTGTCATCTGCATTATGCAGTTTGTTGATGCATCTTCCTCCAATCCTAATGCCACACTCTTCCTCATAGAGCCCAGTCTCCTGGATGTTTTGTTCTGTATACAGATTAAAAAGGTATTGAGATAGGACACACCCATGTCATATACACTCCCTAATTTTAAACCATGTAGCATTTCCTTGCTCTGTTCTGACAACTGCCTCCTGGTCCAAATACTGGTTTAGCATAAGCACAAACTCCCCATATGTTTTCAACCATAATATAATTCATATGTTGGAATACTATGCAGGATACAGAGCAATGATTTTGAAAATCACTACACAACCTCAGAGGGACTTCAGAGCATTATGCTAAAACTAACTCAGTTACACAGGGCAAATATTGTATAAGACCACTATTGCAGAAACAGAAAAATATCTAGTAAAGCGTGTATAAGGATGCAAGGGAGGGAAAGGGAGGAGCAGGAAGGGTGAGATGGGTAGGGATGGTAATCATAGGGCCACACAATTTGGTGGGTAGAGGGAGTGGTGAGTAAAGGAAATGGGATTTGATGTAAAAACAGTGTATAAAACCTTTATAAGTAAACCAATATGAAATAAAAATTTTATTTTAAAAAATGTTCCTTTTACTAGGAGATGGTCATTATAGTTTGCAAAGGAATGTTACTGTCTCTCTTATTTTTCTTGAGTATTTGTTGGGAGAGTTTGTTAAGAAACCAGTAAATGTCTTGCGGGTCCTCGGGCCACCTCAAGTACTGCTGCTTCTGTACGAATGCCCTGATGGACTGGTGTTTCATCAGCTGGTACTGAGAAAGGGATCCAACCACCACCATGATGAGGACATTGTCGAGGTCAGATAAGCACCTGCTTTGGGTGAAGCTAAAGGCTTCAAGACACCAACCATCTTGGAGGAAGTGTCTGCTCACAAGACAAACAACCTTCCGGCTGTTCCAGATAGCATGCTGGATGTTGACGATGTGATCCTGCCCTGGGACAAAATCTCGTTCTTCAAAGCACAGACTGAATTTGTTTTGGTCACTGTACTGTGTGTCCAGGTGCTTGAGCAAAGCATTCTGCACCCATTTGAAGTCTTTACTACTGAAGCACAAATAGGCATCATATTTATATTGATCAGGTACTGGGTGCATGGGATGGTCCCTCAGCAGTAGTCTCTGAGCACTTTTATAACAGAGGAAACAAGATCCCCGCAACTTGGTGACCACGAGGACAATCACGAGGAATAACATCAACATTCCAGTGAAGAAGACAAAAAAAGCAAACCGTATGGACTGCATGGTTTCCTCTTCATCACACCCTTTGACAGAAAGAGAATGCAGGGGGACTCCAGTGAGAGACTCAGGGAACACACAGTATAACTCTTCAGGAGACCCAAATATGGTGACATTTGTCTGATTGAGCCAATGGAGAAAAGTGTTAAGTTCACATTCACAGATGAAATTATTATGCCTTATGTCCACCATCCTAAGTGATGCAAACAGACTGGGATTAGGAGACAGGAGCTGGTTCCTGGATACATCCAGGATCTCTAAGTTAGTGGGTAAATCATTAGGAGAAAGACTTGTCAGTCTGTTGTTGCTGAGATCGAGTCCCCTCAATGCAGTCAGGTGGCTAAAGACCCCGGGAGGCAGAAAACTAAGGTAGTTACTGTGCAAATACAGGACTTGGAGGTGAGACAGCCCCTTAAAAACATCCCAACAGGACCCAGTTTCCCAGGCAAGTTGCAACATATTTTCTCCAAGGAAAAGTTTCTTTAAGCTGGAGTTCTCTAAAGGGGCACGGGTTTGATTACACAAGGAAATGAGATTTTGATTTAAAATCAGAGTTTGAAGGTGAGGCACTTGGAGAAGTAAGTAGAGATCGTCCATGTTTTTTAGTCTGTTCTCTGATAACTGGATGAAGTTAGCCCTTAGCCTGATGTTTGATAAAGTCACTAATTTATTGCCACCCAAGAAGAGAGCAGACAAGCTTGGAAGAAAATGGATGGTTTTAAGAGCATTGTCCTGGAGATCCAAGGTATTTAAATTTTTCAGGAATTGGAATGTTTGATCCTGAATTATCCCAATGTGGTTCCTCTGTAGATCAATGTAGGCTACCTTTGACAATCCCTTGAAATTAAAATTATAAAGCTCTCCCAGGAGGTTATATGACAGATTGAGAACTTGGAGGTTGTCAAGTCCATAAAAAGCTCCCTCTACAATCCTGTTAATTTTGTTGTAGGCAAGGTTCAGGGCTTTCAATTCCTTGAGGGTCTCAAAGAGCTGGACTTTTAAAGAGAAGATAAACCCATGTGAAAGGTCCAGTTGAATCAGTGAACTCTTCCCCAAGCCAACAAATGTGGTCTGGTCAGGGTCTCTGATGTTCTGGAAGCCAAATCCAGAACCCATAGTGTGGTAGGCAAGAACCAAAGAGACAATCTGGCTCCCACTGATGGCACTACTAAAGTTTCTTGTGATAGCCACATCCCAGCCATTACCAGAAACATCCAGGGTTTCCAGAGACATGTTTCTGAATGGGTTCATGCACTTTCCCCAGTCCATGGAGATACTAAGGTACAGGTGATTAGATGCAAGACTAAAGGAGGAGAACGTTTTCCCTTGCAGAGGCTTCAGCTCACTCTCACATACAGAGGCTACATAGTTGAGGGAAAAGTCTATGGATGTTAAGGAATTCAATTCTTGGAATGAAGGATGCAAATGAAGGGTTTCAATTTGATTTTTTGATAGATCCAGGCGAGTTAAGGATTTCAAATTTCTGAAATAGCCACCTCTTAGTATAGCACCTGAGAAACCACAGGAAAACAATCTAAGTTCAAGCAGATGGGGTAGTGCCTGAAAAGCATCAGGATGCAAGAAGGCTATCTTATTCTGGCCCAGATCCAGAATGCGAAGATTGGGCAGGTTTCTGAAGGCCTCTTTGTCAATAGTTAGAGGTGTAAACTGGGTCCCAAGTTCTAGCAGCTTCAACTGCTCCAGGAAAGGGAATGATAGGGAAGTGACTGTCCCAATGTAGTTGTAGCTCAGTAGGAGGCGCTCAGTGGTGCTGAAGACGTGGGGAATCTGAGTGAGGTTGCAGAACCTGTATAAGGCTATCTGATGATCAGTAGAGCAGGGAGAAATTCCAAATGCAGGACTGACCATGAACATTGCTCCTAAGAGAAATTCAAGGTAGTCTGTCATGAGCCTGTGGAGAGAATGAAAACATGGACATAGCTATTGGCAGACGTTGTCTAACAGACAAAGCTGTTCTCAAACTTTTTTTTTCTGGCAAACATCAAAGTAGACATTAGTCTACAAAAAAATGTAATCTATGTGTTTGACAGAAAAATATATAGACCCATTGTAGGGAGCTCTGGTGGCCTAGTGGTAAAGAATTGCACTATCAACTCAAAGAGATATTGTTTGAATCTACCAGCTGTTCTATGGGAGAAAGATGGCCAATCAACTCCTGTGTAATTTATAGCCTCTGGAAACGATGGTACACAGCAACAACAGACCATTCTAAAGTCCCTGGTAAACACAAGTTGCACTCATCTAGTGAATTTAATGGTTAAGAGTTAGAACCCATCTAGCAATGTTGACAAAGAAAGCTATGCCAAATTTGCTTCTACAAGTATGACAGCTAAGAAAAAATCAATAGAGCAATTCTACTCTGTAACAGATGGGGCCATAATGGGTCAGAATTGACTTGATGGTAATGGTCTTAGTTTTGATTTAGGTACCATTCTATTTACTGTAAGAAATATGATCCCCTAATCCCTGGGGAGAGAAATCTGGCAAGGGAGAGCCCACCAGCCCCTGGAGAGAGCTGCCAGGCCCCTGTGGAAAGCTGTCAGGCCCCTTAGGAGAGCCACCAGGCCTCTGGGGACACTGCCTGGTGTGTATGAAGAACTTTATCTAAGCCACTTTCCCCTATCTCTTCCTCTAGTATATCTGTGAGTAACACCTCCAATGCCCTTTTCTTTGTAACTCAAAAGCTTGTTCTCTCTAGGTTTGCTCCTTCTCCTATAGGAAATCTGAACACTGAGTATTTTTCCAGAACCTGAACTCTGAACTTGGTCCCAGAGATAAAAAGGAAATATAACTGTCAGCTAAGGAGGCAGAGGTGGATGTTCAGCCTCAAAGTTCAGCCAGCCACTCCCACTGGACTCACCCACACAAACACCTTGCAGTCCAGAGGGCAGAAAATGCCATGAAAATATCTTCTAACTGAACAAGAAGGCATGCAGCTTCAACTCAAGAGCACCAGTAAAGTGTTAAAGAGGGTTATCCTTCCCCTTCATCTCAACACCCCTGTTTGGTATGAAGCAGCCAGAGAGTCTGTGCCCCTATTCCCAAAGGGGAAACCCACAAATAAAAAGACAATCTCTAAAAAAAACCCACAAAACCCCAAAACCAAACTGATCACCATTCAGCTATGCCCACCATTGCCCATTGTCTTTTCTGGTCCCCACCAGATTTTTCTCATTTCCTTTATCCACTCCCTCTATCCACCAAACTGTACAACACTGATTTCATCCCTACCCATCCTCACCTTTCTGCTCCCACCTCTTACTCTTTTAGATTATCATATATGTTTTACTAGTTATCCTTCTATTTTCACAATAAAAAAATTTTAAAAAAGAAATATGATCTCAATTACTTTTCATTTGGGAATGGAAAATTGTACAGCTACTATGGAAAGTGGTATGTGGATCCTAAAAAAAAAATTAAGGCGAGAAATATCATATGAATGGAAAAATCCTACAACTTTTGAAACAGTGTTTTCTCAGCCATATGTAAATTCTATCTTAAGTTTCCTGTTTGCTAGGAACTACATATAAACTATTCTTTGCATGTAAGTACCTTGTAAAAATAGAGAGAGTAATATATTAAGTAGGTTAGTACCTAATGCAAGTATAAAAGGCAATAACCCTGGGATCAAGCTTAGAAGCGCTAGTCCAAGGTAGACTGCCAAATACAACCAGAAATGCACAATCTAAAGGGGATAAAATTGATGCATGGGACTGTCTAAAGATTAAATCTCTATTCACATCAAAAACTTTTTCCAACAGGTGAAAAGAAAACCTACAGACTGGGAACAAACATTCAGTAATACCATCTCAGACAAGAGTCTTACTCCTGGACCTCCACAAGAAAAAGATTGATAATCCAATTACAAAATGGAAGATATTCGAATGGCAAACAGACACATGAAGAAATGCTCCAAATCACTGGCAATAAGAGAGATGCAAATAAAAACCACAATGAGGTCCCATCTCACACCAGTAAGAGTGGCAAAGTATAACAGGGCAGCAAGTAATAGAAGTTGGAGAGAATGTGGAGAGAAAGGAACTCTTAGACATTGTTGGTGGGACTGTCAATTAGTGCAACCATTCTGGAAGACAGTTTGGTGCCTCTTCAAAAAGCTGAATCATATGACCCAGCTACTCCACTACTTGGAATAAACCCTGAGAATATGAGAACCGAGGCACAAACGGAGATTTGTACATCAATGTTCACAGCAGCATTATTCACCATTGCAAGAACATGGAAACAGCCCAAATGTCCAACCACAAATAAATGGTTTGAGAAATTATGGTACATTCACACAATAAAATACTATACAGCACACAGGAGCAATAACTGTAAATTATTACCTAACTTGGGAGGGACTAGAGAGCATTATGCTGAGTGAACTAACTCAGTCCCATAAGGATAAATATTGTATAAAAACGTTATTGTAGAATGAGTATAAGGATCCTGGAAGGGTGGGAAAGGCTGTAAGCAGAGGGATGTGGATGTGCAGAGGGGGAGGGAGGATTAATCATTGAGTTGTACAATTTGATGGGGGGATGTGAGAAAATTGAAAGAGTTTGTTCAAACTTGCATTCAAATTTTGTAAATAACTAGTAGAAGGAGGGTAAAGGCAATAACAATATTTAGATGAGAAGGCAATTTTTTAGATAATTCTCTCTGTTCTAGAACTGCAGTAAAATGCTTTAGATATTGGGGAGGGGGGAAGTACAACATGGTACCGTGATTCTACTCTGATATGCATGCAAAAGACTTCAAAGCAGAAACTCAAACACTATTGACAACTCCAACAATATGCACAATAGCCAAAAGGTGTAAACAACCCAAGCAGACAACAACAGATGAATGGATAAACAAACTGTGGTACAAAAACCAGTACACAGTGGAATACAGTAAGAATGGGCTTCCACCCACCACGCCCTTTTACTCAGAGTTGTGGGATTTTTTAAAGGAGAATAGATTGGGCAATGGGGGAAGCAAAGAATATCAAACAATGCAAGTCCACATTTAGTCCAGCAGTCTCAAGCCACAGTAACAAGGCCCAACACCTCAATTAGTGAAATTCCAGGTTCATTTCAGCGGCACAAATGTACCTCTGGTTCCCTCAATTATCTAGCAAGCTTTACCTCAGAGCAGTTACAAGTCAGCTTTTCCTTCAATAACCCAGCAAGCAAAACCTTTAACTGTAGCTCAAACTCCAGAGTTCCTCTGGTTAAAACTTGCCACAGTCTTTTCAAAGAAGAGCCACAGTCTCTTCAAAGAAGAACTACAGTTTCTTCACCCTCTTTGAACCGCCAGTTTTCACAGTGTGGAACATACTCAGGCAGGTAGAGACCATGTCCCCAAAAGGGGCTAAGGCAATAAGAAGAAAAGCCAATTCTCAACGTTTTTAAAAACACAATCATGTATATGTCATATATTTTTAGTTTATGTCCTTATTGTTGTTGTTATCAAATGCTATTGAGTCAATTGCAATTCATAGTGACCTTTTGTACAACAGAATGAAATTCCTAATCCTGATCTAGCCTTATACTCTTTGATATACTTGAGCCACGATGTCAAACCAATGTTTTGAGGGTGTTTGTTCTCCTTCTACAGCAATCCTCTATTTTACCAAGTATGATGTTCTTTACAGAGGGTTGTTCCTTCTCAAAACATAGAAGAATGGGCTCTTGATATATGATAGGTACACTGATGAAACTTGAAAACACTGAGTGAAGCAAGTCAATCACAGACAGACAAATATTATGTGATCTCATTCATTTTCTTTTAAAGGCAAGAATAGGCAACTGCATAGAGATCAAAGTTCACTGGAGGCTACCAGAGGTGGAGGTGAAGACAGAAGGAGGGTTACTGCTTATGGACTACTGAGTTTCGAGGTTTGGTAATGGAAAAAAAATCACAGTAAGGATAGAGTTGCATAAATGATTAATAAAATTGCTGTCAGTAATACGGTTGAAAAATATGTGTATGATACATATATTTTTTCTATTTCCAACTTTTTAAATTGACATTTTAATGAATATTTATAGAGAACTTGGATTTCTATTCACTCATTGTTGCACATTTTCCCCCCACCCCACACCCCATTCGCTTTTCTCTTTGGAAAAAAAAACCCAACAAACTTCCTTCATTGTTATACAGCCGCTCCCCAGTCCACTTTACTATCAGCTCTTATTTTGGACTCCTGACATTCCAGTAATACTTAATCATATATTTATAAGAATATGATGTGTATCTGCCAAGATAGGATTTGATTCCTTGGTTTGGATGGTTCTTCAGAACATCAAGTTATATGACCTAATAGGATGTCCAGTGCCTGTGTTCGATCTTTTAATTTGTTACACAGTGCCTGGGGTCTTAAAAGCATCCAAAGCATTCAACTCATAACAACTGTTCTCATGATTCACTTGGAGTAAAAGAGGAAGGAGAGTCAAGGATGTTGTTGTGTGTCTTACAGTTGGAACCAACCCATAGATGACCCTCTAGTGGGCTTCTCAGAGGCAGTAACTCACATGGGGAGGAGACTGTTCATTTCTCCCATGGAGCAACTGGTGGATTCAAACTGTGAGCCTTTGGGATTACAGCATTTGTGGCTAATGTCATCACGAGAAACTACCTCCTTTCCTATGACACTAAAAGAACTAGATAGTACCTGGCTATCATTATTGAACATTTTAATCTATGATTCTACAGAAGAATCTTGATCAAGAGGCAAAAAAAATGCAGAACAAAATTTCAAATTTTCATCGCATCTTGACTTCTAGAGTTGTAGAAGCTGTATGAACCCCTAAAACTGTTGCTCTGAGATAATCTTTAAGCCTTAAAGCCAAAATATTCCCTGGAATTTTCTTAAAATCAAACAATATCTAATTTTTATACCTATTTTT